GTGTGTGTGTGTGTGTATGTGTGTGTGTATGTATATATATAAAATAAGGAGCAGTTTTTCCATTTTAAAGTAGATGTTTGGACCCATTCATTCCAGGGCCCTGCTTCTCCCAACTTAGCCAGCATGACAAAACACAGAATAGAAAACACCTACTTAGAATGTACACTGAGAAAGGAAAAGTGAACACCGGTTTAGGGAAAGCATTTTGGCAGCATGGCTAAAGCACTGACTTTGTAATCATATAATCATCAGAGCAATGTGAATATAACCACAGGGAAGGGCTAAAGGTGGCATGGGGGTGGCAAAACTGGCTCCACACGGAAAAGATCCTAGTTTTATGCCCTGAGACCTCTCTGAGTACACTGGGCACGTGTGTGTGCCCAGGAGCTGGACTGGCTGAGGCTGGGGGGAATAATAAGATGAGGACCCTGTTGGGGGTACCTGTCTCTCTATCCTTCTTTGTTTGTCTGTCTTTCATGGAAGAACTAAATGAATCAGCTTAAAAAACTAAAAACGAATTAACAAAACATACAAGGAAATATTACTTCATCCCTGTTAGGATTAAAAACAAACAAAAAAACTGAACAAACCAAACAAAAACCCAGAAAATAAGTGTTAGTGAGGATGTGGATAAATGGGAATCTTTGTACACGGTTGGTGGGAATCTAAAATGGTACTCCACTCTAAAAAACAGTATAACTGTTCCTTAAAAAATTAAAAATAAGGGGGGGCAGCAGGTGGCATAGTGGTCAAGGTGCTGGACTCCCACATGGCTGACCATAGTTCAAGTTACAGACCAGGCAGTATGAAACTCACACTGGGTGCACGTGTGTACATGCCCAAAATCCTGAGAGGAGAATGGAGAAGGGATTGCGGCATGGCCATCCCCCCTGGGGAGTGATTTCTCTCTTTCTCTCTGTCTCTGTTTCTCCAATGAGCGTACACACCCTATAGCAAAAACCTCTCAAAAATAAAATTAAATTAAAAATAAGACTTTTGTGTAATCTAACAATTGTATTTCTGGATATATATGCAAAAGAAATTAAATCATGATCTTGAAAAGCTATCTGCACTCCCATGAACATTGTAAGATTATTTAAAAAAAAATCCAAATATAGAAACAATCCAAATGTCTCTTGACTAATGAATGAATAATGAAAATGTGATATACAGACCCACAATGAAATATTATTCAGCCTTTAAAAAGAAAGAAATCCTGCCAAATGTGACAACATGGTGAACCTGGAAGATATTACATGAACTGAAATAAGGCAGAGAAGAAATAATACTTCATGATTCTATTCCTGTGTGGTACTTAAAATAGTCAAACTCTTAACACACAGGGAGCACCACTGTGGCTGCCACAGTCTGAGGGGAGTGAAGTGATGCTTCCAATGGTTATACAGGGTTGTTTCTATGAGGTGAGTTAAGTCCAGAGCTCTGCTGTGCAACCTTGTCCCTACAGCCCACAGATCAGTTAAGCAGACAGGCCTCCCTCACGTTAAATATTCTCACAGTGATAATTAAGCAATAAAGAATTAGATGTGGTTTGAAAATTTAGCTGACCACTTCCTGGATATGTTACTTTGACTAAGTCATTTACCCCTTCGAAGATCAACGTCTTCATCTCTAGGTGGGGTTATTATGCAACTGGGTTATTAGATAAGGAGCACTGACAGTGTGTCTGGTACACTCCTAAGCACCTGATGGATGAAACCCTAACCGCTAAGTTCAGTGTCAAGAGATGACCTGAGAGACCCTATGAAAAGCAATAGCTTTGGGACCAGCAGGTGGCATGGTGGTTAAGGGGCTGGACTCCCAAATGTTTGACTGTGGCTTGAGTCCTGGTCCTGGCGGCTTGCTTTCTCACTTTCTCTCTCTTTCTGGTGAGCACATCTGCCCTTTAGCAAATTAAAAAAAAAAATTAAATAACTCTTTTTTTTAAAAAAAAAAAAAGCAAATTGCTTTTGAAAAGCTAGTTAATAATGAAGGCATGTACATTTCTTGAGGAGTTCTGATGCCAAAAGGCAGGAAGGAAGCAGGGAGTTGGAGATTCTGCTTTTGGCTCTGGTCCTGAATCTCAGGGATCAAGAGGTAGGTCACGTGCACCTGCTTGTTCCTTCGCAAATTCCTTTGATAAGTCATTGCCCAGACTCAGATCTAAGCACATGTAGCCTTGTAAGACCAGCACGTACTTGGAAATATACGCATCTATGTGTACATACAGGAATTTAAACTTGATTCTTACAATGAACTACAGAGCATTTAAGAAATACAATCTTAATTTAGTTTGGACATAAATGGTAGAAACATAATAAACAGATCTACATCTGTAGCATTTAACATTTTGCCAACCTGAAGTAAACAAAAAAGAACTTAATAAAATAATACAAAACATAAATGAGCATGAAACAAATGCCTAGCTTTCTCCTCCCGACCCCCTACCCTCGCCCACCAGGATAACACCTACAACTCAGCTATGTCTGACACCTTGAATGGAAAATTTCAGTCCCCAGGTTCTGAGAGTCAAGCTATTCAGTGCTGCTTACCTCAGTTTAGAAAAGAAAGTCTGACAGGATCTTAATTACGGTGACAGAACTAGCACTAACATAATGCTGTAAAGTACGGAAGGAAATAGTTGACTAAGACCTTGTAAAATACTCCTGGTACCAAAGGTTAGAGAATATTTATCTCAATCAAAAAAAGTCTAATCTACTTCATTGGCACACAAACCAATAAGAAGAGCAAATCTATTCCTTTTATTCCATTTTTGTTCATTTTCAGTTTGGTAGGGGTGAAAGAAGGAGTCTATACCACATGGTAAAACTTTGTTGATATGTCCTCCATGGAGCCAATTTGAATAGTAGCTGTTGAAGAGTCATTTAAAAATATTTATTAATTGGGACCAGCAGTTAGCGTAATGGCTATGTTGCTGGACTCATACGTAGTCGACCGCGGTTCGAGTCCCGGACCCGGTGGCTTAAACTCACGCCGGGTGCGTGTGCATGCGTGCCTAAGATCCCAAGAGGAGAGTGGAGGAGAGGAGATTGAGGCGTGGCCATCCCCCCTGGGGGGTGATTTCTCGCTTTCTGTCTCTCTGTCTGTCTAGCGAGTGTATGCGCCCTAGAGCAAAAAAATAAAAACCTCTCCAAAAAAAGAAAAAAAAATTAATTAATTTTTAAGAGTGTTTTTTTTTGTTCTTTTCAAGACACTATAATTTAAAATATAACCTCTCCTCTGAGCCCCAGAGATTACTAACTCAAGAACACAGAAAAATGCCTCAAAGGGGATGAATATTTTCAGTGATCAGAAGCTTTTCAGGAAGATACTGCCACCTAAAGTGGTAGAGAGTGTGCAAAACTCTGCAATAAACCTGGGAGTGGATGAAGGACTTTCTTTAAAAAAAATGTTTTTAGTAAGTTTTTGCCATAGGGTATGTGTGCTTGCTGGAGAAAGACAGGGAGAGGGAAAGTGAGAAATCATCCCCCAGGGGAGATGGTCATCCCACAATCCCTTCTCCTTCAATCTCCTCCTGGAATTTTGGGTACACACACACACACACCCACACACACACACACCACACACACGCAAATGGTATGATTTTCGGGTCATCACATCCAGGACTTGAATCATGGTAGGGCTTGTGGGAGTCCAGTGCCTTAACCACTATGTCACCTGCTGGCCCCAGTGAAGTGCTTTTGAGCAGCAGGTTTTTCATTATTTTTTTAGTAATGTACAAAAGTATGCTATCATTTGTACTTCATGATGAACAAGAGGACGCTGAGGTACCAAATGAAGGAACTGGGTTATTGAACAAATGCAATTGTAGGACAGAGAAGGTATTTGTTTTAGGCAAAATATTCTATGTATAAGTTTGAATATGAATATATATATATATATAATTCAAAGACACTAATTTACATGATTCTATAAAGAATATATCAGTAGCATTAGCTGTCGTAGTTACTACCAGGGAGCCAAGTCATGTTGACAAGGCAGACCAAAGAGAAGGAAGTACTGAGCATTCAGGGAGGTGAGATGTTTTTCCGAATTTTGGATCATGTGAGGTTGAACTTGATGATACACCTATGATATGTTAACTTGAACATGCTGGCAAGAGGATTCTTCAGTGCTAGGATGATTCTTGTCTTTGCTAAATAATTAGTCATTGTTCCTATTTCTAAATCAGAACTCACTTGAACTTTAATGGACACATCACTATTCTGATATATGAAGGAGCTTCACAAAAAGTTCATGGAAGATGAATATTATGACAACCTGTGTGTGGATTTCAAATTTTTTTCACCAAAATAAACTCATACTTTAATTTCATTTTTGAACAAATGTTTGAAGTTTAACTTTTGTCAAATATTATTTTGTTACCATCTTCATATTTTTAAGTTCATGCTGAATAAAATTTATAAACATCTCTTCCTCTAGAGGGTAATATCAAAGTAGAAACTACTTTATGTTCTGTCCTGTACTCAGGAGAGAAATCTTCCTAGAGTAGAATTTGCGGGGTATAAGTATTTTGTTTAGATCTTTAAGTTATTTGGTTCCCTCATTTGCAAAATGAGATATATATCTCCAAGGGAGATTGTGAAGTTATAGCAAATTAAACTATGAATTTAAAAGGATCTTACAAATTATAAATTGTATAAAAATTAAAGCTATTGTAATAATTTGAATTAATATATTGAGAGGACATTCTAGACTACCAAATGCTATGCAAATATATATATAAGATATAAAACTGTCTTGAATTTTTGAATTATTATGAAAGATATACTTGAAAGAGAAATTTAGGATAAATACCCTTGGAATTTATCCAAGATAATTTGCATATACAAGTGTTATATGATCCTTTTATAGTGCTTCCTTTACACCAAGACACAAACAAAAATGAAAAATAAGTTGAATTATAGTAGTCAGATTATCACTAGGCATTTGCCCACGGAGAAGTCAGGTTGATTAATTGAACATGCATCTTCACAGCTTACCTTACTTGACTTGTATTCATCGTAAGTAGCCCATAGAAGAAAACACACAAGCCAACGACCGCAGCTGGAATCAGCATTCCCGTGTACCATCCCAGCCATGCAAAGTACAGTCCAATCTTCTCTCCGAAGTACAGCCTGCATCAGAAAGCAAATCTTCGGCTTAAATGAAAACAAATAAAACATATGCAACAGTACATATGACGATGTCGCACTAGTCAGCACTATACATGAAAACACGATGCTACCAGCTCAGTGCCCTTCAGCTCCATCCGTAAAATCTAATATTCCTGCTTGCTAATAAAACTAATAATGGTGGTATTGTTTTTTATTCATTTATTATTTTTTTAGAGAGATGTTTTTGTTATAGGGTGCATGTGCTTGCTGGAGAGACAGAGAAAGAGAGATACAGAAAGCGAGAAATCACCCCTGAGGGGAGATGGTCACACCACAGTCTCTTCTCTTCCTTTCTCCTTTCAGGATCTTGGGCACGCACACATATGTGCCTGGCGTGAATTTTAAGCCACCAGGTCTGTGACTCTAACTATATACGACTACATGGGAGTCCAGCAATGTAACCATTATGCCATATGATGGTCCTGGCATTGTTTATTTTTAAACATTTCCATTATAGGGGCAATTTTGTCAAGTGTATTTACTTTTGTGTCAAACTGTTTTTTGTTTGGTTTTTTGTTTTTTGTTTTAATTTTTGCCAAAGGTTGCATGTGCTTGTCAGAAAGAGTCAGGGGTAGAGCAAGAGGGAGTGAGAAAAGTAGCCCCCATAGGAAATTGCAGTGTCACAATCCTTCCTCCCCCATCTCTCCCTCCTTTTGGGATTTTGGGCAGGCACACACATGTGCCTAGTGTGGTTCTCAAGCTGTCCAGTCTGGGGCTTGAACTACTCGGTCGGCCATATGGGATCCAGCTGCCTAAACCACCACATCATTGGCTTCCCTGCCAGACTTCTTAATATTGCTTATAAAGCTGTATCTCTTCATTCTCCACATCACCGAACTACATTAAATCATATGACCTCTGTGAAAATAGGAGAAGGTGTTGCCTCTGGGTATATTCAGAGAACAGGCTAGGTTCCACTGCCTATCTGCACCCATTGGCCCCACATCCTCATGCTAGGAACAAACTGCACCTTAAGTCTTGTCTTCCTAAATAAGGTCCAACTCTGCGGCTTTGGGAGCCCACAGTGCTTTTCCTGGTTTATGCTGTTCCCTCACTTTGGAAACACAGAAAAATGCCTTCGCCCCCTTCCATTTTCTGACCACAGCTGGAGTAGGAATCATAGAATGCTTCCTGAGAGAAGCAATATAAGACATGTATATGCACCTGTTGTGTCTCTCAAGCTGATGGGGCTAGGAATTGACAAGTTGGCCATGTGGAATCTGGCTCTCTTAACATGCCAACCTATTTATTTCTTATACAATGATAACATTTTGCTTTGAGTTTTGAGTTTATTATATTACTAGGCTTTGCAATATATCACTTGCTCTTTTAAAGATGTCTTCCTCTGTAGGTTGGAGCAGGGATTTCAGCACATGTTGCAAACACAATGGAACAGCTTTATAACAATGATGAAAAAGGTCTGCCCAAACCAACCTGTTTATAGACTGCATCACCCTGAGATGTAAATTATACATTGGGTCAGCCCACAACATGGTGGTTAAAGCAGCTTGCTTCCAAATGGGTGACTGTATAGTTGGAGTCCAGACCTGGAGACTTCGGGGAAAAAAACTTGGGTGCACATGCATGTGTGCCCCATATTCCCCAAAATAGGAGAAATGGAGGAGAAGAGATTGTGACATGAACATTCCCTATAAAGGGTGCTTTCTCATTTTCCCACTCTCTCTGTCACACTGTCTCTCTCTGGTGAGCATACATGCCCTATAGCAAAATTAAAAATATATATACATTGCTAGGATCAGCAGGTGGAATAGTGGTTAAGGCGCTGGACACTCCCACATGGCCAACCACAGTTCAAGTCCCGGACCTGGTGGTTTGCTTTCTCACTTCCCCCTACCTTGGTCAAATTAAAAAATAAATGAATGAATAAATAAATTAAATAATTATTTTTAGAAAAATATTCATTGTTGAAGGTTAAACAAAGCAGTAACACTATTAGACTGGACTATAATCATCTAAGTCACAGCAAATTTGGGATATGATTCAGACGAAGAAGCCAATTCTAGACATAGAAGACTGATAAAAATGCCCCTGACCTAGAACACAGGTACTCACAATCCTCTGGGATCTCTGAGTGTTCCTTAGAGTCTAGCAAAGCCCTGACAGCAGAAGGAGGAAGAGGGGCTGCTGTAGCAACTCTCTTTAAACTGTTTTTTAAACTAATGTCCCAAGTGACATATCATTTGATGATGCCACTTGATGATAGGATTCTGCTGCTGAAATGGCCAAATATTAAAACTCATGGTCTTAGAGAGAATTATTTCATTTTATGACTTTGTCTTTAAATGTAAATCCCTGGGGCCAGATGGTGGCACAACACTAAAAATGGATTCTCTGTGACGATGACCCACATTGGAAGGTTTCAGGTCTCTCAGGTCTGAAGAGCTCCCCGAGTGTGCTGGGCATGTGCTTGCCACCCTGGGGCTGGCTGCAGGCTGGGTGTGGATCATGCCATCAAGACCCCAGTGAGGGTGAGTTTCCCTCTCTCTCATAGAAGAAGTTCTTAAAAAATAAAAAAATAAATGTAAATCTCTTAGATGCCTATTGTGAAGCATTTTAAAATAAATGTCACACAGATATTTTGTTAAGCAGCTTGGGTGGCTGATGATTTTTAAATGTGCTTATTCTAGTTTCATATATTTTCCATAGAAAAAAATAGATCAAAACTAAAATAGGCCTTGGCTACTGATGTTTGAATTTATTCTTAAAATGGGAAAAACCACAAACACATGCCCCAAAATAGTTTAATAAAAAGAACAATGAATGGACAGTCCTTTCCTTTCAAGTGTAAGGAACTGCCTTGCTCAGTAAGGGGCAGGACATTGGGTCTGCCTGTAGGTCTCTGACCTCTATCACCAAATTATGTAAAAACCCAACCAGGTCATCCTCCTCCTCTCAGTGCAGCTAAGCAGCCACACAGTAAGAGTCACGTCTTCCACCTTGTGTGATCTTCAGATCAACTTACTTTCAATAATTAAAAAGCCACAGGTTTTCAGAAAATATCCCAGCTGGTTGCAGACCATTTGAACCTTGTACTAAATTCTGAGCACGAGATTGCACGTCTGATTCACTGTTCACTGCCACCTCAACTGTGGTAATGGTAAGTGTGTAGTAGGCAGGAACCTGTCGAAATGCTGTCTGTACCCTTTCATAACTTTCACCTTTTCCATGCCTCCCCTCCTTTAGCCACTCTCAATATATGATTTCTGTAAGGAATATTGATCTTTCATCAGTCAAAGCTATGGCAGTAATAGCTGAATAATCCTACGTATTGAAAATAATGGCTGCTTGCTGAAATTACCTGAAGCATTATCAGCATCTTCTATAAATAAGAGTAACTGTTTCTGTTTTTATGTCTTTAATTGACAAAGATTGTATGTATTTATCATGCACAAGATGATTTTTTAAAATAGGTGTACACTGGGACCAGCAGTTGGCATAAAGGCTGTGTTGCTGGACTCCCATGTAGTTGACAGTGGTACGAGTCTCGAACCCGGTGGCTTAAACTCATGCTGGGTGAGTGTGTGTGGGTGCCCAAGACCCTGAGAGGAGAATAGAGGAAAAGGGATTGCAGTGTGGTCATCCCCCTTGGGAGGTGATTTCTCGTTTTATGTCTCTCTGTTTCTGTCTTCCTGGAAAGTGAACACAACCTATAGCAAAAACCTCTCCCCTTCCCCCCCGAAAAAAAAAAGGTATATGCTGTGTAATGTCTAAGTCAAACTAAAGAAAATATGCATATCCTCACATATATACTATTTTTTGTTGTGAGAACACTTAAATCCCACCCTCTTGGCAATTGCAAGAAAATAATGCATTATTTATTATTAACTATAGCTGCCATGTTGCACAGTAGATCTCTTGAATTATTCCTCCTACCTTACTGAAAATTTGTATCCTATTTCCAACATCCTCCTGGTCTCCATCTCCATCCCACCTGCAGCCCTGGTAACTGCCATTCCACTCTCTGCTTCTATGAGTTCTACCTTTTTCGACCCTACACATAAGTAACAGCATGTGATATTTGACTTTCTGTGTTGGATGGATAAAGCAAATATGGCTCATACATACAATAGGATACTATTTAGCCTTTGGAAAGAAGGAAATCTGATCATTTGTAACAACATCGATGACTGTGGAGGACCTTATTTCAAGGGAATTAAGGTAGGTAAGAGTGATTATTGACACTGAAATACTGGTTTTAAAACTCTAAGTTCTTTTTTATTCCTAATAAACATAGCTTTATAAACCAGTATATCTCCCTGAGTTCAGAATTATTATTTGCCTCCAAATAATAATTCCTTTACCTGCATAGATTAGAATCTGAGAATATGTCATTATTGACAGAATCAGAATTAAAAATTATTTGATGTTGGAAATAGCTGTATACTCGCTGCTTAAAATGAAGAGAGTCTGATACTATCTATGTAGAGTTTGTCTTGAGATGCACACTCCACCACTTGCTTTCGGTTTGGGCCCCAGGAGGTTCTCTCTACAGGCTGAATTCCCTCTGCTCCTATCTTCTTCTGGCTTCCCAATGGGCTTGTTGGCCAATGGAGGGCACTGGGGGAGATCACAGGGCAAGATCAAGGATGCTGGGTATTATTACCCCAGTCATGGCCCAGCTGCAGCCACTTTCTGGCTAAAGGGAGCTTGTGCAAGGTGGTCTCCACCTATCCAACGGCTGCACGTTTTGACAGATTCTGCCAACTTCTCCCTCCCCTTATCCTTTCAGGTCTAGGTTAGATGACCAGTTCCAGCTTTTGTTAACCAATGTGAACTTCATCATCCTTTCTGGCTCCTTTAGACCTGGTTCACATTTCCATATACAGTTATAGAGTCATAAGAAAAGTCATGACATACTTCTGCATAAAAACAAAAACAAAAAAATATATCATGACTTTTTCAATGACCTAATATTTTATTAAATTCACTTCAAGGACCCCTTTCAATGTTGCCATGGTTTCAATATGTCTCCCCTTCAATCCATGTGTTTAGATTTTGGGGGGATGGTTAAGAAGGTGAAAATTTAATACACTATTTTGTCAAAGGTAAGGCCTTTGGGAGAAGATTAAGATTATGGTCATCAGGGTGATGCCCTCATGATTGAACCCTGGTGGTTTATAGGGAGATGAAATGAGACTGGAACAGAGACAGAGACAGGGACACAGTGTATGAGCTCCTGCCCTCTGCCCTGTAATGCAGCCAGACATGACCCTTGGGCCTTAGACCTCCAAATCATGAACTGAATAAAACTATTTTTATATATTACACAGTCTCAGGTATTTTCTGTTGTTGGCAACAGAACACCTAGAACAAGTGTTCTATCATTTTCTTCCTGTGGTACTGTCTAGTAGAGTTTTGTTATTCTTGATATTTATAGTCAACAAACAGTTCAAAGTATCCATGTATGTAACTTAATCATGAGAATGCTCCTTTTTCTTAGTTCTATGCATATCTATAGTTAGCTAGGCACTTGATTAAGTCCTTGTTAATGTATATTTCATGGTTTCAAAAATGAAAAAGCAAATTATCCTCCATCAAAATAAATTACATAAATTATGAATGCAACAGTATTTCAAGACTAAATCCAGTGAAAGGCACTTAGTCACTAGAATATACTTCCTGTAATAGATACTCAATCTTTGTTGATGAATATATACAATACATAGATGCTATGCTGGGCTCAGATCCATATTTTGCTTTTCTTTGTTTTGATCACGAGCTTCTGGCCTTAAGGTGCGTGCACTCACCAGAGAGACAGAAAGACAGAGATATAGGTAGAGACAGAGAGAGGAAAAGTAAGAAATTACTCCAGGGTGGAGGACTATGCCACAGTCCCCTCTCCTCCATTTTCCTCCCAGGATTTTGGGCATGGACACACATGTGCCCAAAATGATTTTTCAAGCCACTGTGTCTGGGACTTGAACTGTGGTCAGTCATGCAGGAGTCCAGCAATGTAGCCACTGCGCCATCTGTGACCCATTGTGAATTACTTTTGATTAGGTTGGGGCAGAAAGTACTGAAAGACTCACATTGAAAGGAAGGGATAAGCCAGGACCTTTTCACCTGTCTTGGTCTTTCTCGGGGCTTCCTCCATGGCGATTGTGCCTCCTCCATGGTCTCACTCCCCATTTTCACTTCCATAAGAACTCTAGCATGGTACAGCTCCTGCCCAATGGCCCAGGAATTCAACCAGCAATGCACATTATTCCATTTTCTCTCCACACATAGAGATGTTAGTGATTTTCTGCTATTACTAAACTCTGGTTGCCTTAAAATACCTGTGTGACTTCTCAGTTCTTTCATCCTCAATGTAGCCAACCCTCTGCATTAGATTCCTTTTACAGAAGATTTCTACAGGAATTTCTCCTGTCTAGATTGCCTCTTTATTGGTGTAGATCATTGGGTAGGTAGAAGAAACGCTTCCAAGACTAAAGGAATGATAACAACACAGCATAATGTGTCTCCCATTACCAACCCAGCCGTAGTACCTGATTAAATCCAGGGGCTGATGCTTATACCACATGCCCCAGCGTGCCCAGCGCTCGTACAGCAGGTGCCTGTTATTCTGAGGCCCATGGGTTTTGATGGGGTGGCTACTTTTGTAGGCTCCCTGAAATTAGTGACATGAGATAAATTGGTATCCGTTCTCTTAGCAACAGTCACAAAAAATTAGAACCTCTTTTTCTTACCATGGAATATAAAAATTTACTGAAAGTTTCAGAGATTGTAAATGTACGCCTATGCCTGGAAAGATGTGGTAGATGCCCTTAGGTACTGTGATTTCATTGGGAATATTCTGACAGTCCCTTTAAAATGTCTTTGTTAATTACTTTCTTAAACCTATGACACCCATTCACATAATGTAAATTAGACTGTTTGGAACCTAAGGTCTCTTAATACACACAATGTGTTGAACATGACTGAGAAAAATGGTTGCGATCTTTAGTTTTGAAATGAAGAACATTATTCTGCTTCAAGAAGTGATCAGGGGAACCAGCAGTTAGCGTAGTGGCTATGTCGCTGGACTCCCACATAGTCGACCGCGGTTCGTGTCCCAGACCCGGTGGCTTAAAACTCACACAGGGCATGTGTGCGTGCGTGCCCAAGATCTCGAGAGGAAAATGGAGGAGAAGGGATTGCAGTGTTACCATCTCCCCTGAGGGATGATTTCTCGCTTTCTGTCTGTCTCTATGTCTCTCTCTGTCTGTCTGGCAAGCGCACGCGCCCTGTAATGAAAAAACCTCTCCAAAAAAAAAAAAAAAAAAAAAAAAGGCACAATCCCCGTAATTTTTTTTTTTTCCAT